CCCCCCCCCCCCCCCTCGGTACAGGCACAGCCGCCTCACTCAGAAGGCCCAGTCGAAGGACTGGTTGAGACCGGTGCCCGGGGCCGAGGCCGCGGAGGGAGCGGCGGCAGGCGCACGCCCGGCCGGGGCCGGACTGGCGCTCATGCTGGCGCCACCCAGGTTCCCGTAGTAGCTGCCGCCCATCGGCGACATGGCACCCATGGCCGGGGCCGGGGCCGAAGAGGCCATCTGGTTCATGGGGGTGTGCTTGGCGGCATTGCCGGCATTGCCGCCGGCCCCGCTGGCGCTCGGGCTGCGCAGGTTGTCCAAGTTCACCAGGCGCGAGTCCACCCAGTCAGGGCTGCGGACCGCCGCGCCGGGTCCCGACGAGGCGGTCGACCCGGAGGACGACGCCGTCGACGAGGGGGCCACATGCGCGGCCGGGGTCACCGGCAGGGCGGCCAGGCTGCTGCCGGCCGCCGCGGGCCCGCCCGCCGGCTGCTCAAAGCTGAAGTCCGAGAACAGATCCAGCACATTGGTCTGGGGCTTGGCCGGGCCCGGGGCGACCCGAGCCGGCGTGGTCGGCGCCGCAGGGGTCGAGAAGTCGCCAAAGTCGCCAAAGGCACCGAAGCCGCTGCTGCTACCGGTGTTGCTGGTCGGCGCGGCGGCCGGGGCCGACGCCGGCGCGCTGAACGAGTCGAAGCCCAGCAGATCGGCCGTGGCGGCGGCCGGAGCCGGAGCCGGAGCCGCAACCGGGGCCGGGGCCGGAGCCGACGTCGGAGCGCCAAAGTCGCCTGACAGGGGAAACCCCACCGAAAGCAGGGAGGAATGCCGGATGAGTAAATGAAAAGGAGACCCACGCCGGAAGGCAGGGCGGTGGCTCCTCTGGCTGTCACCGCCACCGCCGCTGTAGAGGAGGAGCCCCCGGGGGGCGCATACGCACCGAAGCCGTCGCCGCTCGGGGCACCGAAGTCCCCGAAGTCCCCGAAGCCGTCATTGGCCGGGGCGCCGCCCGCGCCAGCGGCGGCCGGGCGCATCTTGATCTGCACGGCCGGGGTGAAGGCCACCGGGGCCGGGGAAGTCTCGGTGGCCGCCACCGAAGCCGGGGGAGTGTACGCGCCGCCGGTGAAGGCCGACGAGGAGGGGGCCACCATCATCGGGCGAACGGGCTCCGCGCTGGAAGCCACCGGAGCCGCCGGCTGAGGGGCATACCCCCCGGCCGAGGACGACCCGAAGGAGCTGAACGAGTCGTTGCCATAGCTGTCGCCACCGGCCGACCGGTAGGAAGACCCGCCGCCGGAGCTGCCGAAGCCCCCATACTGGCCGCCCTCGTTGGAGCTCAGGCCCTTGTACTTGTCGCGGTTCTGCCGGGCAGTCAGCCGCCCCTGCACGATGGCGTCCTTGTTCTGCAGCAGGTCGTGGATCTGCTTGGCCCGAGTGCGCACATTGATCGACACATCGCGGCCCTTCTCGTCAACAGCATCGCTGAAGTGCTGCAGCGACAGGATCTCGTACTGGCGCTCGCGCGCGACGTCCACCACCCGGCTGGAGCCGTTGTAGATGAGGAACTCAATCAGCAGCAGGGCCTTGTAGACCACGCGCCACTTGTCCACCTCCAGAAGCTGGCCAGGGGGAGGGGGAGGGGGAGGGGGAGCGGGGAGGAGGGCAGGTGCCCAGGCGTGCACGCCGGGGAAAGTCAGAGGACGCAGGCCGGGAGGAGGGGCGACACCGGGCGCGCGAGGCGGTGGCACGTACCCGGCCGAAAGCCGCGTCCATGATCTGGGGGAAGTCCGCATAGTTGTGGGTCGCCTGGGCAATCTCATGGTTGAGCTTGGAGCCAGGACAGGGAGGCGGGCGGACGGCGGGCGGTTAGTCCGCCGAGGCGAGGCGGGCGGGCATGGGAAGCAATGGGCGGGCGGGCGGGCGGGCGCACAGTGCTGGACGAGCCCCAGGCCTCGTTGCTGGTCGCCTCGCGGACCTTGGCCACGATCGGCGGGTAGTTCATGACAAAGTTCTCGGCCGCCTGCATCAGCTTCTTGCCGCTCAGCAGAAGGTTGGACATGGTGCACGGGACTCCAGGGAGTGGAGAAGGAGGGGGGCTGTCTACCGCGAGGGAGCGTGAGACAACACAAAACAAACCACGCTACATCGCAGGGTACGGAGGGGGCGGGAGAGAGAGAGAGAGGGAGGGAGGGAGCACGGTCAGCGGGCTGGCGGGGCGGAGCTGATCAAGCGGCGACGGGGCGCGTCGGGGGGTGGGCGACACAAGGACCTACGAAAGCTGGGTGGGGGAACGGTCCGGGCAGGGGGCGTTTGCGGACACGAGCACGAGGGGCGAGAGAGAGAGAGAGAGGGGGGGGGGAGATGCGGGCGGGGGTGGAGGAGGAGGAGGAGGAGGAGCGCGAGGGCGGGTGCTGGATGCCAGGTCCCGGACCGGTTGCGGTGGTTGCCCAACAGAAGGGAAGCCGGGGCGCGAGGGCGGAGCGCGGACCTTGGCCGCCGGGGGGGGGGGGGCAAACTCAGAGTCCCCGCCCGGGGCGTTGTTCTCTTGTGCTCCTTGGTTAAGCGAAAGAGGCCGAGCGAACGTGAAACCGCGAGACGCCCACAATGAGAGCCGGGGGGCGCCGCGCCAAGGGGGGGGGAACAGGCTGGCGGTCGCGTTGCAGGCACGACGGCCGGGCAGCGCAATGGCTTGCGCCGTGGGGTGTCGGCGCTTCTGCGGCGCGCGCGCGCGCGCGAACAGCAGCCCCACAGGCCGATGACTGCAGGCGCCCCGCCCCCCCCCCCCCCCCCCCCCC